AAATCAGGAGTTTGTCATACTTATCATCCCCTTTCCTTTGGCTCTTACCTCCAGTCCTCTCATGCTTTAAGCACTGATGGATGCCAAGTGGTGGCTGCAACAGCAGAGGTGTGACGGAGCTGAAGCTGTTTCTTTCCAGGGCTGCTTCACCAATAACGAGTACGTCCCACAACGAGGGACCCTTTAACTGACTGCCAAAAGAGCTAAGTGTACTTAGCACCTCGGTGGTTGAGGACTAAGGTGCGTAATGCTGGCAGAAGTAGCTGTTTGGGAAGCGATTTAATTAATTTAAGAGTAAGAAACAAAAAAGGTCAAGCCTTGCCTCTACTGTGCTGCATTTAATCTGCACTTGTACACAGGACTTCAGGCTCCAAGGTTTGTTTGGGCTTTTTTTTTTAAGCTGGCACATTTTCCCAAACACGATAACATTTTTTAACTTTAGTGGATGACATTCTGTAATATGTTTAAGGCTCTGTAATATTTTATGCTTGTAGCTTTTTGTGACTGTTGTTCCAATACGGCACTGATGCCAGTATTAAAGTTTAATATGATTAGAAAGCTCAATTGTATAACCATGGGGTTATACCCTTTATCTATTCTAATCTGATTAAAATGCTTCTCTTCAGTAGCTTTCCACAAGCGCTTTATAGCAAAACCTGGGAGCAAAGCCACCAGCACTTTGGTTTGTCCCAGATCGAAAGAAATACTGAATGGGTTCCTTAATTGCATATCTCATTTGTTAACATACAAAGCTGGGTGCACACTACAAACTCGGCTTCATTTGGCTTTACTGGAGCTGCTTGCTGAAAAAAGTCTTGTGGAACTGGCATGCTGCCTGGCCTCACCCAGGAGCTGGTTAAAGTTCGACAGCTATCTGCTTTAGGGACAGAAGAAAGGTGGTTTAGGTCTTGCTGCCCAGTGCCAAGGCTGCTAAGCAATGAAGTCACTACAAGTAGCTAATGTTATGGCTACACCCAAATCCCATCATAGCATTAAATCCATCACTGTCACTAATCACTGCCTGCGATACCATCTCCCTTACATGATATAGTTTGTCCAGCCTAGTGGCAAACTATTTAATGCAAAAAGAACACATCCATAACTAACTTCCATTGCCATTTAGCACTCACATGCCACAATTTATAATCAACCTGAAGGCACAGTACAGAAAATGTGCTGCAGAGAATGTGATAATCCATTAATAGGTAAAAACATGAAGAAGCAGCTCTGTTTTAGTAAAACTCACCTCTTCTCTTTCAGCTGTTTCTCTAACACTGGTATAGGAGAAGAGCTGTAGAAGACCAATCATAGCTGCTGAAACAGTGGTGGTTTTGCACCACCAGACACTATGTCATCATCTAGTGGATGAGGGGAAAGCAGTGGATGTTGTCCACCTGGACTTCAGTAAGGCCCTTGACACCGTCTCCCACAGCATTCTGCTGGAGAAGCTCATGGCTTATGGCCTAGGCAGGTGGACTCTTCACTGGGTTAAAAACTGTCTGGATGGCCCAGCCCAGAGAGTGGTAGTGGATGAAGTTAAATCCAGCTGGCAACCGGTCACAAGCGGTGTCCCTCAGGGCTCGGGTTTGGGACCGGCCTTAACATCTTTATCAGTGACCTGCATGAGGGGATTGAGTGCACCCTCAGTAAATTTGCAGATGACACAACATTAAGTGGGAGTGTTGATCTGTTGGAGGGTAGGAAGGCTCTGCAGAGGGATCTGGACAGGCTGGAGCAATGGGCTGAGGTCAGTTGTATGAGGTTTAACAAGGCCAAGTGCCGGGTCCTGCACTTGGGTCACAACAACCCCAGGCAACCCTCCAGGCTTGGGGAGGAGTGGCTGGAAAGCTGCCTGGTGGAAAAGGACCTGGGGGTGTTGGTGGACAGCTGACTGAACGTGAGCCAGCAGTGTGCCCAGGTGGCCAAGAAGGCCAATGGCATCCTGGCCTGGATCAGAAACGGTGTGACCAGCAGGAGCAGGGAGGTGATCGTGCCCCTGGACTCCCACACCTTCCTTAGTGTTATGTAACAGCTTCTTGGGCCCTGTGGCATCAGATGGGTGTGGCTTTAACTGCATTTGCCATCATTGCTGCTCTGCCTGGCATACTCATTCTTTTACAGATCTCCTTCTTTTGTTCATTAACAAATTTTTATGATCCATTAAAATTGCCTCAGAGGTAAATGTTCAAGGTTCTTAAGTAAAAGGAACTTGCCTGGCTTCTGATAGAGTCTGGGTCACATGAGAACTGAGAACCAGGCTTAGATTTACTAGGGAATTTGCAAATAAATGAATTCTGAATTCTTTTGTGATGCTAAATTTTCCTCTCAGTTGCTCTTGACTCTAAATAGGAAGTTTAGAGTGGCAAATGAAGTATTGTCAGATTTTGCCTCATGGGCTTGCTGTGAAGCAGAACAAACTGTTTTACATTCTTTGCTGCGGATCCCTAGGGTTGTTTGGGGAAGGTGTTCCTCCCACAAAGCTCCAGCACCCAGATGACTAGGACCACCACCTCAGACAACAGCTCTTTGCACCTGCAGCTGCAAGAATGAATTCACTCATCAGTCTGTAGATCAGAACTCTGACGGTCTGGCTCTTACTCCACAAGAAGTACAAGAGCTAATAACCTACAGGCAGATGTGGTTGGTTTCTTCTGTGTTTCTGTACATAGGCATGGTCTTGTTTTAAAGGAACTCATCTACTCATAACCCACTAACTACTGCAAGGAATAAGAATCCAGGTTCTGGGCAACTTTACTGCAAATCATTAAGAAAGTGTTTTTAGACTCATTCCAGCTTCACAGATGTCTAAAGATAAAGTAAAATTGCCTGCAGGAGATAGAGATGGGAATTGATTACCAAGAGGCTCAAGTTTCAGCTGTAAAACTGATGCTTCCAGCAAGACTGTCTCGTTGCATCAAATCTATGCTGTGAAAACATCCTCCAGCTGATCTATACCAGCTGGCGTGGAGGGGGGAAGAGGAAACGCTGCTTGTGGCAAAGCACCATAAGGCACAGATCTTACCTCCGCCTTAAAACCACTTCTCAGTGCTGGCATTACTGGTTAAACAGCCAGTACATTACCCTGGCAGGATGAGCATGCCCTCAGACTCTTCTGGTACATTCACTAACTGTAATTTATGATAAATCACAACAGAGGAAAAAAAATAATCTTAAAACTGAGTCTACACTGAGCTACCCATATCTTTTGTAAAGAGTGAGACAATACTTTGAGTTATTACAATGAGTAGAATGAACTTTTATTTTCATTCATCCTTCATTAATACCATACAATTAGATAGCAGTATCTGGGAAAAAAAATTGAAATAATTTAAAACAGAAGGCACGGAAAGCGAAACCAAAGTATGCAGCTACAGGAGAAAGGGGAAAAATGGTTCATGGAGGGAACCAATTCAGAAAGGTTTTACTGCTAGATAGTCTGATCAAAAGCTACAGCACACAGAAACAAAACCACACAGTTTAAGCTAACCTACGCTTTTGTTACATATAAAAGAAAAACAATCTAAAAATCTGATTGTTGCAGGGTTTTGAATGAAAAGTGTAAATTAAAAAATAAAACAAATCTAGCATGTATGTAAAAATCTTCCCTAAAGTCTACACTAAGATGTACTTTACAAAAAAATCTGTATTAGATTAAGAGCAAAGCATACAGTTAAACAGCATCTGGGGATGGGAGGAAACTTGTTCTCAAATCAGTTAAGAGTATCAAATAAGTTTGTTTTTTGCTTCAGGAACAAAGATTCAGTACAGTAACATACTGCAGAGGACATTCTTTTGTGTTTTAGTATTATGAAACGAAACTGACAGCATACATTACAGAAAGGAATAAAACCACTTCATTCAAATGAGATTTTTACAATTATGGTTTTTTTTTTGCAAAAGAGTAACTTTATTTCTTTTGAAAACAAAGCTACGGGAATTAATGACATGCGATAATATGCCCCGATATTATACCAGCTAAGTCTGAAAATAAAGTTCATGCTTCACAATGGAAATATGCTGTGATTCTCAAATACATTCTCTGGTAATTAATAATACAATACAGAGGCCATTCATAAAATCAGTTCATGTTGGGAACCCAGTTTATAAATGAAGCTCTTTTTCAAATATGCTGAGCACTGACAACATACAGGGTTAGCTCCAGGTCAGCACATCTCTTTCTGCGCTCCACTCCTCTTTTCTTAAACAAATAGGTGCTTAGCCTGCAAATATCATGGAAAGGCAAAGTCTAGAAGTTACAGGTTGGTTTGTAAAAATACTAAATACAATCCAAGATAAATAGTATTACTCTTACTGACAACTTAATAGCAGGTGCTCTCTAAAGGAAAAGAAAATAAAATCCTGAAATGCAAGAGAGATCCTTTCAGCATTTGATACCAAGGCATTTGCACATTTGTCAGGAGGTGACAGAGTAAGAGTGAACTTTGCAGCTTACTTAGCAGTTGGACTTGAATTCAAAGAGCCTTCCTTCTAGCCTGCCCACCTGTAAACCGTAACATATGGTTTCTTAATAGCTTGCTTTTTTCCTGGAAATAATTCTCTCATTTAGAAAGTACAAGTCCAAGTATTGTTTCCACACATGAATAAAGACAGCTGACATCTACAATAGAAACGGTAAAAATGATCTTTGTAAAAATGTTCATCAAAACTCTCTGACATAGCAAAACATTCATTTGTAAAGTCAAGTCTAATACTGCAAGCCATTCACTCAGAGGCGACCTCGGGCACGTGTATTCTTGCCAGCACTGCAACGGTAATTACTTCCACATTTCTTGTCATTATAGGATACAAACTCCATAATATATTAAAGTTTCCTAACAAAGAGTCCAATTATTGCACTTTATAAAAATTCCAGTAATATCAGGCTTTTGTCCTACTTTTTTATGAACACTGAAGCCCTGCAAGAAAAATTTAGGGGATCGAGTAATTTCTGATGAGTAAGATGGATTACTTGAATCAGTCTGAAATATTGAATCAAAATTGGAAAGGCTTACAAAACAAAGAGACGTACCTTTGGAAACAGATTTTGATTCACAGCAGCAGACAGATGTGTCATTGTGGTACTGACACGTTCCCTTTGCAACGAAGAACGGGCACATGGCTACTACACTTATATATCACATATAACTTGAGGACTGTGCAGAGATACCCAAAGAACCACAAGTTCTTTTGCTGACTCTACAAGCCTGATGGGGAAAGCTCAATGACAGCCATATCGGTGTGGGAGTTTCTCTGTGAGCTCGTGTATATTTGCATTTGCACCAGCATTGGATATAGCAAACATTAATGGCTACTTCAGGACGGAAAGACATATAGAGTAAGTCTGAGAGGCCCATAAAAAAAGAAAATACAGCAGTTTTGGCCCTGCTTATAACCAGCTGTATCAATAGGGGAAAAAAAGATAGAGGAGATTTTTGTGCCAGCTATCTAGAAAAAGACACTGCTTGAACCAAAGTGATTCACACACTTATATGAGGCTTCCAGGCCAGCAAATCACGGTTAAAGTTACTTTGTTCCTCTGCTCCTTCAGCATGGGAACGAGAGCAGAATGGCTCATTCCGACCGTGGACAATCCGTTTACAGCAACAATCATATCACCACACCTGAAAAATACAAGAAGAAAAAAAAACCAGAAATTATGACGACTACTGCTCTGCATTACCTAGTATACACCAACAAGCAGCACTTCGTTGCTGGAGTGATAGGTTTGCATCAGGTTGGAAGTGTAGCTAAAAAAAACTAAAGAGGTTCAATTTTAAAATCTAATTTACTACATGAACTCATCTGGGAAATTCCCAAATCAATAGACTTCAACTCTAATACAAAGATTCTTCTGCATTAAGAGCTGACTTGCAGGGAAGCATGAAAAGAGAAAGCTGGAAAAATCTAATGAAGATAACAAGGTAGCCTGTGCGCGACAAGCATTTCTGTTTATTTGTCTGAATTATAACACATTTACACCAAACATGCCTTTACTGTAGGAGGTGTAAGTAAAGATACTTCTGGTTACCAACTGAGAACCTTGTTCTCAATGGCTTACGATTTTGTCAGATGTAACCATTTGGCTTGAAATCTCCCTCAGCAGATGGTTCGACTGAGAAGCTGCAGCATCTCTGTGTTTTGAAGCAGGGACAGAAATTTGGGAGGGTGCTGTTTGCCGGCCCTGAGAAAACTGATCTCTAATAGTTAACTTTCATTTTTTACATGCTTAAGCTCCATCTCCAAGAACCTCTTCTCTCCAACTTGAGTGTGTGTTTGGTATCCGTCAGAGCAGTTGAATGTGACCTTGGAGATCAATCGGGACTTTTCCTGAAATTTATCCTCCCAACTATTGGAAGCACAAAAATGGATAGCAAAAAGATGCTCTCCTGAGTTCTCCCCATGCCCTCCAGAAGGGCAGAGCAGAGAAAGAAGAGATGGTGTGACCAACATCAGTCAAATGTGCATTCAAAAGCACTTCTCTGCCTGAACTAAGGTACCCTCATCACCCAAACCTACAGTTCACTGAGTGGGGTCTCACTCACCCAGCCTTTCTGCTGAAGTCATTTCACCTGCTATAAAACCACATCACACAGATAATGCAGGCAAAAAACTGTCTTAACTATTGATCTGTAAAGTTATTTGTTTCCTCCTTCTCCAGCTGAACAAAACATTTAGACAATTTAAACAAAAAGAGCTGCTTCAAAAAGCCCTGCCCCAGAATAAGTCATTGTGCAGGTTCTAAGGAGCTCTCTCTCATTGATGGCCTATTTTCAAGTCCACATTCTCAGTAAAACAGTACATTTGAAGAGAGGGTACTATATCACAATATAACACAAGAGCATCTTTTCCATTCCTTACAAGGGGGTAAGTGTGACCACAACCTCTCTTCCCCTCTTCTTAGGAATGATGCTTGAATTTCCTTTTGTGTGAAGACTTCTAGTTATTAATTTCCCAATCTGAAATGATTTACTTTGGGTTAAACTGAAATCTTTCAGTTAATCCAAACTGTTTCATAGTAGGCCAAAAAAAATCTAATTTTGTGTTCAGCTGAGCTATTTTTTCATTTATTTATTTAGTCGTTGAACTGAAAAATCAATTACTGGCAAGGCTCTAGGCATAAGTACATTTTTTCTTAAGTTACTTTGTAAGTAAATCAACACATAAAAATCATGCCATAAAACTTCAAGCTGCACATTCCTTACTGACACCTTCACAAAAGATCAGTTTATGAACAAGAGAACCTTTAATACAAACTCTAAGTCCTAGCTCTGAACTAATCCTACACAAGGCCACATACACACATATTAGACCTCATGGTTGCCTACAATTTTTAAGGTCAGAGGGTCCTCAGGAGGTCTCTAGTCCCAGTTCCTGCTCAAAGTAAGGTCAACTGTGAAATCTGACCAGGTTGCTCAGGGCTTTATCCAGTCAGGTCTCAGGAACCTCCAACAACAGAGACTGGGCACCCTGTGCCACAGCCTGGAAGTTCCTCCTCCTAAGCAGTCTCAACCTCTTTTGTTTGACTTGTGCAATTGTGAAGAGCCTGGGCTCCACCTCCCCAATAATCTCTTTGTAGGTACTGAAAGGGTCTGTTAGGTACCCCTGAAGACATCTCTGCTCCAGGCTGAGCAAGCCCAGATCCGCCAGCTTCTCCATGTAGGGCAAGTGCTCCAGCTCTCTCCATCTCAGGGGCTTCCACTTGAACTCACCTCAGTTATCAGTGCTTTTCCTGCCAACTAATGACTGTCAGGACACTGACTTGTGAGCTTGGTTCCTTAACAATATTTTCAAAGGTACTGACTTTTTCATCTACTTTCTTGCCTTGCCATTAAAGCAGCAGCACTCATCTTCAGTACCAGAGTTGCCAGCAGTGGGTTCTGAAGGCTATACAAAACGAGAAGACAGTCTTCTCTCCCCACTTTACAGGAGTTAGTTTTTTAGCTGTTCTCTGGGAAGCCAAACACATTACGAACTGGCCAGTTTTGCACATACACATTTGGCAATGGCTCTTGGTCTAAAGAAGTGTCCAACAGGGACATGGAGACAGCGGTGACATCAGCACCACAGCCGGGGAGGAGGACAGGAGATGGCAGAGGTGCCAGCACGAGCACTGTCTCTAACAGACACCCCTTCCCCAGCAGCAACACCCTGTCCTTCCCTGCATCACACTCATCAGGGTGGCAAAGCACTACTAGGCTGCATGAACCCCCCAGCAAAAAATGCTACAGTGTATTTCCTGAAGCAACCAATCGCACCAGCACGTACTAGCTAAAAGCGATGACGGTTATTAGTACCATTGCTATTATGTTAGCTTACTTTAATCTTCCATCGAAGTATGCGGGGGTTCCAAGAACAATGGTTTTAATGAAGAAAGGCTGGTTTGTGTGGTTCTCCTCATAGCCACCAACGATGCTGAAGCCCCAGCTCCCTAAATTGCTCCGCCGCAGCACTACGTCATGGCAGCTATGTAGGCAGCTGTGGAATGGAAACAGAGGACAGCGAGAGAAAAAGCCACGTTTACCACAGACAGAGATTTTTATAGGAGGCGTGACACCTGCTGTAGCATCACCACCACTGTGCTAAGCGTGGAAGAGAGGGGAAGGGGTGGCCATTAGACTTCTGTTCCCAGAGTAATTTTGCAATATTCAAACCGATTACCCCCAAACCCCCACAATCTTGAGACTGAAAAGTGTTTTAGAAGAAATAATGAGGCGCTAGAATAATTACTTAAACACAACGAACTCTGCAAACTGACAGTAACAGAATGGCATTTTAGGGATTTCACAGGTGGCAAGAATGTGGGTGGAAAATGGATACCTGACGTGTTTAGTTTGCAAGTCAAAAATGTAGTGTTTTTCTTCCACCCCCGATCAGTTTAGGCTTTTTTCTACTTTAAGTAAAGATCTAAAAGTCTATGCATCATCTTTGCTGCCTCTGAACTGGTGTATCACCAGCAATGAAAATGTAAATGATTGATCATTTTATTACACAGAATGTAAATAATTCAGATCGTGCCTCACTAAATGCAGTGGAATATGTTATCTCCCCCAGTGAAAATTAATTCTTGCCAATGAAGTTGGCAATTACTGTAATTAAAAAACCACCACCAACACAGAAATTAGCTTTTGGGTAAAAAAGATGCCAAGTTCTTTACTGATATACAGCACTTCTTTAACGAATAGCAGCACAATGCATAGCCTCATTGTAGGAGCCATGTATGGGCATCTGCAGTATATAAGCAATAAACCACTGCTGAAGCATGGAAAGGAAGTACATTTAACAAAAATGAGAGCTGTTTATTGAGATTAGGTAACTCATTAATACTGGAATGGAATAGACATTAATTGAGAGTAAAGCTCACAAAAAGTGTGAAATCTTTGGAGGGAGGCCTAGTGTGTGGTTCTGCTTTCTTCAGCTGCATTCTGCTACCAAGACGCCTGGTTCTTTTTGTGCTTTCATGCTTAAACTACAGACCTGAGCCTGTTAACTCTATCAGAGGGAAAGGAGTTAACTTCAGTCAGGGCTTGCAGGTTAACAACACTATTTGCAGTAGTGGGAGCTCTTCTGGAGAGCAAGCAACGCCACAGTGATCTTATAGCTGTAGCCACAAGAGAGTGAAAAACAGGAGAGTATAAATGAAACATGGTCATGTCCAGCAGACTGCAGATTAGTCAAGGGGAGGGATCTTGCTGCAAATCTTGGAGTTTTTGTGTTTGGCAAAGATGGTAGTAGGTTCTTGAAGAAAAAAAAAATAAATAAACAGTCAAGGGGATTTGTAACTACAGCCTCACATGTGCAAGATAACAGTGTCAAGATTCTGTCAGACTGAATCTAGAGTTAAGAATTTGGCCTCAAATTTAGGTAGCAGATTAGCAAAGAGACATGTGGATATACACTTTGTGTTTTTGTTAGTGGTCTCTCTGGTTTAGATATTCTACAGTTATTATGGGGTTAAGTAACAGAAAAGATGACTTGTGTTCAGTGAGGAGAATCCACATGGGTAGTTACTATGGCTTAGGAAAGGATAAACCAAGTCTATCCAAATTCCTGTTTCCTAAGAAAAAACTGCTCCTGTTCACAGTCTGCTTCGTAAGTGTACTGCCAACCAAATATAGCTGAGGTGGTCAGGCAGGCAGGAAAAAGGGCAGATGCACTGCAACCAATAAGGTCTCTGCTTTTATATCTCTCTTGGACTTAGCTTAAATCAGGTAACTAATGACTTTAGCAATTAATTTCATACCTTGGCAGCCCTAGCCACATGACCCATGACGGTGACCAACTGGCATCATATTCATTTTCACTGATGGTACTCAGTTGTTCCTCATTGGCCTGGGGCTGCTCTTCTACAATCTGGACCTCCAGGGCTTTGAGGGCGACTACTGACGAGGCAGCACTAGCCTTCAGCATGGCCACGGCCTCGCTGTGGCTCAGGTTAGTCAAATCGATGCCGTTGATGTTCAGCAGCACATCACCTGTTGAGAGGCACAAGGGAGAACGCACCAGCCTGTCAGAGCTGTTCCTACCAACACCACCTCCTGTGCCAGGGTTTCATTTAATGCTGTGTTTTTTGGAGCTGAGACAGTCTGAGCTGACAGCCTGGGAATGGGAACAGCTCTGGAGCCTTACACTGCTGGTTTGAAACAGTCATGTACTGAATTGTTAAGCTGGATCAGTACCATTTATTTCCACATAATGTATAAAATGTGGTGGCTTCTATGGTATATCACCCTGGAAATTTGAGGCAGAAATTACCCAATCACCTCATCATCTCGGCTGCAACTACTATTGCAGGTGCCACTTCATAATAGTTTCCAGTGATGGCTCTCAGGTCCACCCTAACTTTAGAAGGGAAGAAAGAATGATGGAAGATGGAAGGAACAATATAGGCACCACAAAGTAACCAGCTCTTGTGGGAAAGTGAGGCTCCACAGAGTGCTTTAGGTCTTCTGCTTTTTCTAACTTGTTACTTGGGAGAACAAAAAGCAAGTCAAAAACTACTGTAAAGGCTGGTATAAAAAACCCAGTCCATTAGAAGACAGACAGACAGACAGACAGACAGGAAGACAGAGAATCTCCAGAAAGATTATCTGAAAAGAGTCACAGCCACTAAAATTGCCACAATTTTCATTTTATTTCAGAATATGTTTTAAAAGCCTTAGGATGAAGAAAAGAATGCTATTTACTGTCCAAGCAGTGACAGACTCCTCTTTCACAGTGTCTCACTCACTGATGAAAGCCAGGAAAAAAAAAAAAAAGGCAAAAGTGCAAACACCTGGATCATATTTGGAAAGAAACTAATTTTTTAAAAGCTTTTTCCTCCCAGGGAAAGCTAAAGTGGAGGTGCAGCTTAACTTGAAATCACTTCTGTTGCTGCTGTGGGTACGTTAATGTTACACAATGACAGAGCAATTGTGGTTCTTCTATCAAGCGTGTTTTCCATAGTAGTACAGAAAAAGAAAGCATACCCGTTGGTATGTGGGTGTAAATCTCCCTCTCTCAGAAGCATGTAAGGATGCTCCCACACTGTTCTTTTTAGATTTGCCATCTGTGAAGCTTTTTCCCTATTTTTCTTTCCTAAAACAATCTGTAATTCTGTGAACTCTGAAGCTCTGAGATCCCATAGGCAGTCTTTGTTTCACATACGACACAATAGGTTTTAACCATCAAAAGCTTTGCTGGGGATCAGGCAGGACTGCCTGCACCTCCACCTCCTGGCTCCCTCCTGCAAAGCTGAGGAGCACGGACAGGTGCTGTAGCACCCCTGAAGACCAGCAAAGCCAAGCTGTCCCAAAGGATAAGAAAGCATTCAGGAACCAGGGTTAACCCTGACACAGCTTTAGAGGTAAACTTGGTACAGGTGAGCTGTGGCCTGTCACCAGAGCATCTCTGCTGTTCAGATATCACGCTGAGGAGCAGAGATTCTTTGGACAGAGGTGTGGCCCAGCCCACCACATTAAACACAAAAACAGGATGCTTGCACAACAGTACAAAGCATCACACCAGAGCCTCAGCTCAGGGGATTACCATCAGCTTTAAAGAATTTAACCAGACAATTCCTGGTCTTATCCACTTCCCCTGATATCCCTTGCTAAACATCCCTTTCCTAGAAAAGGTGGAAGTGTGATACTAAATACTCTATTTCCATTATTGAAGCATGAAGAAAACCATTCATCAGCGCTTCCCTACATCTGTGACAGGACTTTTTGACACAGCCTGACTCCAGAGCATGCACTCATCAAACAACACTCGGAGGCCACCCGTGCCACCAGGAAAGCCAAGCCCCACCTCGTTTAATCCTGCCGTCTCTCGCCAAACACCCGTGAGGCTGCACACTTGTCACAAAGATGGGCAGTTCGCCACTTTTGCTGCCTCTGCCTCCTGCCACTGTCATTCCCAGAGATTCATGTGGCTCTTTTTTCACAGTAATGTGCTTTTCTTGGCATGTAACACACTGGGAGAGATCCTGTTTGACAAGGATAAATAACATTGTTAAAATGTTTTTCTTAGCATGCTGCACTGGAATAGGCTACATTTTAGGACTGCACTACAAAATCATAGGGTCAAAAGACTGGACACAAAACAGAAACAGATCTTTTGATGTCTTGGTGAACATCAGCATTACCTCGTTTGACAGTAGAATATGACCCAGAACTACAAAGAAGCTCCAAAGAAACAAAAACACGTGTTTTCACGATGACAAAGAGAGACCATTTAAACCCCTTATACATCATGTTTTCTTTCACAGCTGGTATGTAGAATCTCCCAGAGCACAAAGTAACTATGGCAAATCACTGCTATAGGCTGGTAGTGGGTGCCTTGTGCAGTCTCCCTAATGATTACAGCAAAGATCCAAACTTGAGACAAGAAGAGAACCTGTAGTTCATTTTCTATTACAAGGTTTAGCCTGTATTTAGTTTTGCCCTAGCAAAAGATCCAAACCAGAATCAAAGTACATTTTCTTTGCTGAAGCCCTTCCTCGTCAGGACCTTTAGTGATATACTCAAACCCCTGCACATAGACCTGTAGCATCTTAACAGAATATTCGCAAAGAACCCAAAGTACCAGAAGAAATAAGCCGGGAGATTGTTCCAAATACAAATACTTAATTATTCCCCTGCCTTCTCTTGGAAAATGACAACACTGCTTTCTTCAGCTTCCAATGCCACATGCTCCTGCTGACCCACTCTGCTCCTCATGTATAGATGTTAATCACGTATGTAGCTATACATATACACACCATGGCTTATAAAGACAGCTCCTTTATTAAGACTTCAGGCTTTAATGAGAGGCAAAGATAAATGGTATGAAACACAGGAAATCTCCACTCACAGTTTCGTGGGTCTTCCCACTTGGAAAGAGCCCACGGGTGGTATTGATACATGAAGGAAATCAACTCAGCCAACAGATCAGCGTTGGAACTGTGACATGAACACAACCCACGCTGGCAGATGGGAAGTGGTTTGAGCACTGATACAGATGAGCTGTAATCACTGTGCTGATACACTGTGCTAACGTTATGGCAAGTGCTAACAGCCACTAAGTGTACTCAGGAGCCTCACCTTTGTCTCTCAGGAGGAAAACAAACTTCCTAGTGCCTCACTTGTTCTTTTCTGAAATTACCCAAACTTTTAGAAGAAAATACTATTAACAACATGTAAATCGTCCCCACAAAAGTATGACATTGAACAGTGATGTCAACGGAGTGGGCAGGAGGAAAGGTGGCTCGGCTGACATGGTCCACATGACAGTTATTTCACAAAATCAACTTCACACCAGGAAGAAGTCATATTTTTCTAACTACACGAACATTACAAGCACAGGCTTTACTTACAGCACTAGCTTCATGAAAGTCTCTTCATTCTGCCCTGCATGACCCTGCAGAACTTAGCAGTCTTGCAGCCAGCACTGCTTGCTCATGGAGGAGATGACACATGCCTCCAACATGCTCTTTATGTGCTGGATAGTGTGCACCACACGTCCTGTCCTTGCTGGTTACAGCCCGCGCAGCAGCAGCAAAAAAATAACATTCTTACTGCTCTGCCAGGCAGCACTAACACATGAGCCTTTGTCTTAGACAAGGTCTAACAACTACAGCTGCATGAGCTCAGAGGACTTGCTTCCTTCACCACAGTCAGCAAATCCAAAAAAAATACTGAAAAGCTGTTGCATATCTTTTGTTCTCACTCCAGACATGATGCAGGGCTTAAGTACTTAGAAGTCATCTTTTAAAAATAATAAAAACAAACCCTTCCAATCTTGCCTTACTACACACTTAGACCACCACAAGACCATAACTATCTATATACCTCTCAGAAAGAGAAACACCAACCTTATGTGAGTTGGGTCTGCTGTGAAACACCTGCTGGGACTGGTGTTGGTGTGAGTTGCTGTTGTGAGTCCCCGTGTCTCGGATAATACTGACAGTCTGTGACTTCAGGGCTCTAGAGATGATCAAGTTCACTCTCTCCCCACTAGCCTGTTGAATATATAAAACAAAGTAATGAAGTTGATGGGATATTGATTATTCACAGAATCATAGAATCATTAAGGTTGGAAAAGACCTCTAAGATCATCAAGTCTATTAGCAGAGACAGAGGAAAACATAGGATGAAACACGAAACAAGACAACAGCAGAACTTGTTTTCATTTTCTGGAGGTGCCACAAACTGTTGAGACTGCACAGTCCTTTACTTGCTTCTTGCTGCAATTCCTCCCAGAATGGGGATAGTAACACTGCTCCTTTGCCTCTTACATCAGCTGTAAATCCTTTGCCAAAAGAACTGTTTCTCACATTTTGTTATCAAGCTTCAAACATTAAAAATCACCCAATTGAAATGGCAGCATCTGCAAAGTTCTGCAACACACAGCAATAAAAGAAAGAAATGCCCAGATGGTGGTTCCAGGGTCTGCAGATTTGTGTCAAAAGCTCCGAAGTACCTCGGGTACTTCCCAAAGAGACTTCCAAGAAAGATGTTATATATGAGCAAATCATTAAATTCTGGAGTTTAAGGAGTATCAGGAGACTCAGTTACCAGTTAAATAAAACATCAGCTCTTCCTATTGCCACAAAACCATATCTCAATAAATTAAAGTTACCAGTGTAAAATTCTGACTGCTTCACTGTATCCAAAACCAGAGAAGCTGAAATTACAACTTCCAAAATCATTATTTTCATTTAACTGCAAGGGAAGCTCTTGAAATGATTCCTGAAGCAAACATCTACTACTTGTTTGCCTTCGGAGTTCTCTGTGTGATGCTGGGTTGAGCAAAGATGACTTCACTAGGCTGCAAGAACCTACACCACTGCTCTATTCCAATCTTCCTAAAACCAGAGCTGTTTTCACCAACATCCCATCAGCAGCAAGCAACAGCAGGAAGCAACATGTGCTGCAGCTGCTTCCTTACAGACTAGGAGAATGGCATGGAGTAAAGGTCTTCCTGTGGGAACAGGGAAGGGTCATATGCCAGACTGCATCAAGCTTTGGGTAGTGTTTCCAGAGCACAGCCAGACATTGGGAATAGCCCTTCCTTGAACACTCAGAAAATGAGTTTTGCTGTGCAGGGCTCATGGAAGACCTGTCTGTTTTCTTCTCAGCTGCCACCTGCTGCCTTTGAAGTCTGACAAACCACCTTCCTGTTTTAACCCCTATTCCACGGACAGGAAAATCAACGCAGAACAAACCCCACTGTTACAGAGCTTACTGAGAGACAGAACTACATACATACTATATACATAAATAACAATAATCTTTTTTTTTCCTGCTAAACAATAGGCTACGTGGTACTCTTCTCCCTCACATGAGCAGCCTTCTAACCTTCAGGCTGTACGCCAGGGAAGACTAAGGCACTTTTCACTTCTGAGAGGGTGAACTTCATCTGCTAGGTGCCAAAGCAGACACGCTTTTGCACTATTTTTTCCAGAACATAAATGACAGCAACTCGCACCGCCGAAGGCTTTGAGGCGTTACACCAGCTGCTCTGTCCAGGACAGACTCTACCCTGGGCTTTGCCCAAGAAATAAAGCCGAGCTGAGGACTCGGGTAGGGAAGGCAAAGTACCTGTATGACCTGAGCAGCAAGCTCAGGCGTCCCGTGCTTCAAGTCGTGCCCATTAATGGCCAGCACGCGGTCGTTGCTGCAGAGCCTGCCGTCCTGGGCGGCCAGCCCCCCTTCCAGGAGGTCGAGGATGAAAACTCCGGGCTCGTCCGTCCTGCGCACGAGCTTGATGCCGAGCTGCTCGCTGGAGTCGCGCTTGTGCAGGGTCACCTGGAAGCTGTCCTCCCGGGGGGCGCCCGGCGGC